TTATTAACAGGGCAGCGACGTCACCACCAGCCAATGGGAAAAGGTTTATTTCTAGCCCTGACAGCCTGATCACGTTAATTTTAGCTGGGTCCTCTTTTCCAAGGCTGTGAAGCCCCAGCCAGAAGAGGGGGTGCTGTGCCTTCCCAAACAGCTCTGTGGAAGAAGGCTGAGGGGGGCTGGGCCAGTACCCGTCCTCATGCCCATGCCCCAGCCCCCTCTGCCCCTCCCCTGGATGCTTCAGGGTCATCATGACCAGTGACTCAGAGGGGGAAGGAGGTGTCACCAAGGGGGCCAAGGCACTCCCTGGAGGCTGTGAGGAGCCCGGGCCTTGGCCATGGAGGGGCTCAGCCTATGTGGAAGTGTCGCCCACCCAGATTGGCATCCCAGCTCAGCCTGCTCTACGCTCTGTCCCTACTTGCCTCAGGTGGCACATTAGTCTGTCTTGGCTGCCTCATCTGGTTGGGGTCCTGGCCCAACTCGTGGCCCTGGCCAGCACATGTGGGTGCCACGCCTGACACCTGACACCTGCATGGCTGGGTCTCCAGACGGCCCCACCGGCCACCTGAAAGTGCTCCCAGGATGCTGCCCTGCCTGTCATGGCCGCTCTTCCGGCGAAGCGAGCCTTGCTAGCAGTGTGGACGGGACGCCTCTGGCAGGGGCTTGGGGCCCATCTGGCTCCTAACAGCTGTGCCAGGAGCCAGCAGAGACTCGGTTGTGGGAGGAGAGGCCCAGAGGGAAGAACCAGGGCACTGGGTGCTAGGGGTCGCAGTGGGACAGGGTGGGAGTTGGGGAGGGCTCCCGAGGACACCTGCCTCCACCCACAGCAGCTGGCTTGCCCCCGCCTTGGCCAATCACGACATCCGCAGCGAGTGGTGTCCAGAAACCCTACCTAACCTCTAACAGGAAGGCATTCAGCAGCGGGCTGTGATGCCAGGCGTTATTTTTAATTCCTGGCTCTCGCTTGGTGCTATCAGCAGCCCTCACAGACACTTGTCATCTGAGTGCCCTACCCTGCTCCCTACACTGGCGGCTGCCTCCCAGTCTCATCCTGGCCCAGAACCCAGGGCTCCTGCAGGCAGACATGGGGACAGCAGTGGGGTCTGGTGCCCCTCCCTGAGGATTCTCCCCAACAGCCCATGCCCATGGGCCAGGGAGGCCTGACTGGCCTGACCACTGCCCTGGTCTCCCGCACTCCTCACACTTCCCGGCGTCCCTGCAACAGGGTGGGTCCTGGGCCTCCTAGTCTAGACAACCTGAGAGTGAGGCTAAGGGTCCCTGCTCCTAGTCCTTTGCATTCACCTGGGGACCCCATCCTTTGTCCGGCCTTCTTCTGGACTCTGGTCACAGGAGGAACCGGATGTGTTGGGGAGGCAGCCCCAGGAGCAGGGGCGCTTTCAGTGGGACGGGACCAAGGCTTTGTGCTCCCTGCACGCAGCTGCCACGTCTGCCTCCAGGAGCTAACTTTCACCATGACCCTGTCTGTCCCTGGGAGTCCGTCTGCCCTTCGTCTTTGGCTCGGCACTCAGGGCCTCCCCGAGAGGTGGCCTGTGTTCTCCTGCCTCCCCCTCCTCATGACAGCAGTTCCAGCCTGGACGCCTCCACTCCAGCCGTCCCTTCCCTGTCATGCCAAGTAGTCTCTGAGCTGTGATTGGAGGGCTGGAGAGAAGCTGGGGCAGGAGGAGTTCACCAAGCTCAGGGGTGACCAGCCCCCGTTCTGCCATGTCCATAGGACTGTGCCCAGGGCACTGGGGGCCCACTGAGGTCTCCATGTGGGAGGGGTGGGGCCTCCGATACCCCACAGAGACCCTACTAAACCCTGGTGGTCACTTTCTTACCTGCTTCACATACCCTCTCCAGGCCTTTGCCAAGAACCCACCACAGCCACTAGGCTCCGACGGATACCTGCCTCCCCAACACCTCTGGGCATCAAATGGATGCTGCCCCTCCTCTCAGCCTCCTCCCTCCTCTTGTCTCAGTCTCAGATTAATGGTGCTAGTGGAGCAAATGGTGGACAGGTGCACTCGGCATGAAGCCAGGATGGTGGGCTTGCTGAGACCCCGAAGGAACAGAAAGGGGCTCACCCGGGAACAGCTCCTGCATGGGTGAGAGCCAGGCTGGCTCGTTCCCATAAGATGGTATGGAGCCCAGACACACAAACCGCACTGGGTCTCCAAGGGGCAAGCCCTCATCCTGGTCCCCCCTCTGGGTGTGTTGAGGGAGCCGCTGGGGGTCCCTCCATCCCTGGGATGGCTCGAGAATCCCTAGGTGTGGTGGAGGCCGAGTCCAGGAGAGCATGGGGTGGGGGTGTCACGCTGGGGGCCAGCATCACCCAGTGTGCAGGACAATGACCAGAAGAATACCCTTTGCTTGTGGGACCCAGGCATCCAGCCCCTGTCACACATTGAGGGCCACTCTCAGGGCCTTCAGGTGCTGGGCGCCCAGGGGCAAGAGTGATGGTTCCATACTTCACAGTGCCAATCTCTGTCAGCAAAGCCCACATGTCGCCCATGGCCTTCCTTCCCAAGTGCCTGGCATCACAGACAGTGTCTAAGTCATGGTAGGGAGGCTCAGCGCTGACCAGGCTCGGGGATGAGATGGAGGCCTGACCATGGCCTGTCTCCAGCCAAAGGCCTGCCTGCATCCTGGCACCCTGCCCATGAGGACATGAGCCCCACTAAGTGATCCTCTGGGGAGTGGAGTGGAGGGCCCAGGGTTGGGTCCAGGGGGAGGGGAGAGGACCAATCACACAGAACCTTCCCCAGACACCAGGACCTGGAGAAGTAGGCACTATCCCCACTTAACTAAGTGTGACCCCGAGGGCAGCAAAAGCCCTGGGCCCAGGCGGGCTGCCAGGTAGAGGCAGCCCACTGAGGACGGCCCTGCAGACATCAGCGTGGTGTTGGGCTGGGGCCCCGTGCTGGCTGTGCACCTAAGCACCCCTGCACCGAGTGACCCAGGGGCTGCTTCCAGGGGCCTCAGAGGATGGATCTGCTGGCCCATCCTCAGCCCCCTTGGCCTGCTGTGGGGATCCAGAGGCCCTGTTACTGGGCCACACCATGGGGGCCAGGGGCAAGCAGTGGGGTCCCACCAAGGATTGCCTGAAGGGAGCTTCATTTGCTCACAGGCACAGACGCTGTGCAGGGCCAGGGCTGGCTGGGCTGACGGGATGGGATAGCTGCGGAGCCCAGCCTCAGCCCCTTTGCGTCCCAGGCACTGACTGCTCCTTGGCCCCCAGCATCTTCCAGGCGTGGCCCATCCGGTCCCACTTCACCTTAGCACAGCCCGCTCCTGTCCCTGCCGGTTTCCGCCAGTCCTGGGGACCTGGTTTATTCTTCAAGTCTCTGTCTTCTGTATCCCCTCTGGTGCAGCCCGTCTCCCCCTGCTCCCCGCTCTCTGCGTCTCCCCCCGCTGCCCCAGCGCCCCGCCTCCAGCCGCTTTCCTCTGCCGCGCTCCCTCCGCGCGTCTGGCGCTCCGCGCTTTTGAGGCTGGCTCCGCCGCATCCTCCCTCCCGCGGCCGTCCGTGGGCCCGCCGCCCGCGCCTGCACCCCGCGCCTGCGCCCCGCCCCGCGTACCGCAGTGCCGTACTGCAGGGGCGCAGTGCGCTGCACCACTCCGTCAATAGGTGGACCCCTCCCGGAGAGATAAAACCGCCTGCGCCGGCGTCGCCAGTCCCTCTGGCTGAGACCGCGGCTCCGGGTAAGGACTCTCGGCCTCCGGGCCCCCGCCCGCGCCCGGGCTTCCCGGAGAGGGTCCCCTCCCCGGGGGCCGGTCCGGGAGAGGCCCGCAGGGGCCGGGGCGCTTCGCGGGGCTGCGCTGCTTGACGGGCGGACGTCGGCCGCCCACCCGGCGCACCCCGACCGGGCGGCGCTCTCAGACTCCCGGGGGCGGCCGGGTGGGGGCTAGGGGCTTGGCGGTTGTTCGCTTGGCGGCGGGGGAGGACGAGGGCTGGTTTCCTGGGCGGCGGCCACCGCCCTGCAGCCGTGACCTTGGGAGAGACCAGGCTTTGTGGGGTGGGGGCCAGGGTCGCCAGTGCTGAGGGGTGCCTGGGGTGGGTGCTGGGGGTGTCTGGGAGACGCAACAGGGGCGAGGAAGACGGAGCCGGCTACCTAGCCTCCCCGCCCCCACCCCTGCGGGCCCCAGCGGTGTTCGCCGCCATCCCCGCCCCGAGGTGCTGGCCTCGCGCGCCTCTCCCCCTCCCCCAGCCGCCTGCGCTCTCCTGGGCGGCTGCTCCTGCACTGACCTCGGATGGGGGGCAGGGCTGTGACCTAGGTCCCTGGGCAGGGTGAGGAGGGCAGGCAGGGCTCCCAGCTCTCTGCTCCCACCCCTCCCCCTGCCCACTGGGTGGGGGGACAGGGTGCAGCACCTGCTGTTGGAGCAGAGCCTCCTGTGGCCAGAACAGGACCCCATCTGCCCTGCAGCCTGCCCCCTGCCCCATCTAGAATCTAGAGGAGGGCAGAGCTATTTCGGGCCCCTGATCCTGGGCACTGCAGGGTCTTCTTGGAGTTACCCCCCTGCCAGCCACTAGCAGGATGGAGAGAAAGATGGCGTCATCCTGCTTCAGGGGGGAGTGGGGAGCCCTGACCATCCTCACCACAGTGGGGAGGCAGGCAGCAGGGACAGGGCCTTGGACAGCCTTGGGTGACTCATCGCCCAGGCTCCTGGGTGACAGGGCATGGGGTTGGGCACTGGCCTCATCCATCCTGGCCTCTCCTTGTCTCTCCAGATGGGCTTGGCCTCCTTGGTCAGGAGGCTGGTATCTGTGGGCTCTGATGGCCAGACCCTGACAGCCGATTAGGCTAAAATGAGGAGTGGGGGGTGGCTGGCTAGGCACGGGTTACTCAGAGCAAGTGGTGTGTGGGCAGGGACTGTGCCCCCAAGCATACCAGGATGGCTCTCACCTGAGGCCCATCCCTCCCTCCAGCCCCGTAGAAGCTCCACACCACAGCCCCTTCACCCCATCAGAGCATCCCGGTCGCGCCAGCCCCCACAACCCGGGCAGAATGGGCAAGGAGAAGACCCACATCAACATTGTGGTCATCGGCCACGTGGACTCAGGCAAGTCCACCACAACAGGCCACCTCATCTACAAGTGTGGAGGCATTGACAAGAGGACCATTGAGAAGTTTGAGAAGGAGGCAGCGGAGGTGAGCCCAGGGGCCTGTCTCTCCCACCCTCCCCTCCAACCTGTGTGCCTGCCTCAGGCTACCTCGTCCAGGCTCAGAGGGACTGTGAGGCTCCAGGGGACTGCGTCCCAGAGGCTTGGGGGGAAGGGGGGCTCTGAGGATGTGCTTGATGGGTTTGCCCACAGTGGGAAGGTGGTCGTGCAGCGTTCTGCCATCCATGATGTGCTCTGTTCATGGGGCTCCCGTGCCCCCAGGAAAAGCAAGGCTGGCGGTGAGGCTGCCTTCGCTTGTCCTGGCCACCAGGGGCAAGGGCTCTCAGGTTGCTATTAATAACCGATTGACGGGCGGCCAGCCACCGGGTCCATTTTCTCGGGCAGGCCTTGGGGGATGCCCTTGACAGGGGTCTTGGTTGCCCCAGAGAGGGTGAGGGGCCAGCAGCTGATGGCTCTTCCCAAGGCCGTGGGTGGGAAGTGTCAGTGTAGTGAGGGGGCTCTCCAGTATTGGTGGTCACCACCAGCCCAAAGCCTGGGAGAAGCCCATGTCTGGGAGAGGTGCCGAGGGCTTCCACAGCTGAGGGGGGGCCTGGCAGTGGACACTGGCCTGTGCAGGACCCCTGCCCAGGTGGCACTCTGAGCTGCACGCCTCCATGTGGGGCTCAAACAGCTGCGTCACTCCCTCCCTGAGGCCACCTGGGGAGCAGCAGAGGGTGTGTGGAAGGCATCCGGGTGGCCGTTGGCTCCCGTGCTTGCCTGGGCCATCCCTTCAGACTGGGCAGTCCCCTCGGTCAGAAGCCGGTCCACCCAAGGCCTGGTGGGGAGCTTGACCCCGCTGGGTGGAGGCAAAGCTGCCCTCCCCCGGGCATGAGGAATCTTGTTGATCTACCCGCAGGCCCAGGTGTTCAGAGGGCAGGTCCCACCTTGTGCCTGGGGAGACCTAATGAGTCTTGAGTGGATGGTTGGGGGGAGGCTCTGAGGTATTGGGGGCCCTCGCCCACTGTAGAAAATGCTGGAAAGCCTGCCCCTCCAGTGCGACCTCCTTCCAATTCTTTCCTTTCTTTTTTAATAACACAGTGGTTATCCGGTAAAGTGAGACACTGTGGTGTGGTGGGGCTTGTGGGTCGGGGTCCCGGGAGCCTGGAGAAAGGGTTGAAGCCAGCCGGCAGCTGCTCTCCAGGCCGCTCCCAGGCCCACACGCCACCTGTTGGTGGATGTGGGAAGCTGTGTGGCCGACTAGACCCTCAGGGCAGGTCTGGGAGCGCGGGGTGGGGACGCCCTCAGGAAAACCTGCATCAGTTCCTCATTCTGTTGTGGGTGGGGGGTTGGAGTCATGGGGTTCAAGCAGGGGGTGGGGTGAGACTGGAGCCCATTTTCATGGAGGCTCTCTGACTGCAGGTGTGGTGTGTGTGTGTGTGTCTGTGTGTGGGGTGTCTGTGTGTGGTGTGTGTGTGTGTGGGGTGTCTGTTGGGTGTGTGAGGTGTGTGTGGTGTGTCTGTGTGTGTGAGGTGTGTCTGTGTGTGAGGTGTGTGTATGTGTGGTGTGTGTATGTGTGGTGTGTGTGTGGTGTGTGTGGGGTGTTTGTGTGTGGTGTGTCTGTGTGTCATTTGTGGTGTGTGTGTTGTGTATGTGGTATGTGTGCAGTGCATTTATGTATGTGTGTGTGGTGTGTCTATGTGGTATATATGTGGTGTGTGTGGTATGTGTGTGTTGTATACGTGTCTGTGTATGGTGTGTGTGGTCTATGTGTGTGATTTGTGTTGTGTGTGTTGTGTGTGTGGTATGTGCAGTGCATTTATGTATGTGTGTGTATGGTGTGTCTGTGTGGTATATATGTGGTATGTGTGGTATGTGTGTGGTATATATGTGTCTGTGGTGTATGTGTAGTGTGTGTGTGATGTGTGTGGTGTATACGTGTCTGTGTGTGCTATGTGTGTGGTGTGTATCTCTGTGTATGTGTCTGTCTGTGTGCAGTTAGGGGAGTAGTGAGTGGGAAGGAAGTGGACTGGGGGGTGGGGGAGATGCTGTGGTGGGGGGCCTGGCTGGGCCCCTGAGCGCCCTGCCCTTCCCCCTCCAGATGGGGAAGGGCTCCTTCAAGTACGCCTGGGTGCTGGACAAGCTGAAGGCAGAGCGTGAGCGAGGCATCACCATCGACATCTCCCTCTGGAAATTTGAGACGACCAAGTACTACATCACCATCATTGACGCCCCAGGCCACCGGGACTTCATCAAGAACATGATCACTGGCACGTCCCAGGTGGGTGGGGGACGTGTCAGGCGGCAGGGCCACCTGGGGGGGTGTCCGGGAGTCTTCTGGGGACAGTCTCCCCCAAGCCACCAAGCACTGTGTCGTGAGTTGTCCCCCCCGCCCAAGCCCACTAAGAACCGATGAAGTGATGGTCTCAGCCAGGCAGGGATAGACAGACAGACAGACTGGGACACCAACTGCCATCAGGGACATCAGTACAGAGTAGACAGATGTGAACCCACTGACATGGCCCCTTCCAGGCACAAAATGTGGGCACCCTTACAGACTGACGGACACAGGCCCTCATAGACAGACAGTCACCCTTGCAGACAGAAGGACACAGGCACCCTAAAGCATGTTCTGTTCTCATGATACCCCTGGGACATCTGCAGCCAGTAGGTGAGGGGACAGGACTAGAGAGGCTGAGTGACCTGCCCAGGCCCACACAGCTCACCGGGGTACAGTTGGGTCTCCCCAACCCGGGGCTGGGGGATGCCCCTGCCGCTGCCCCTGAGCGGAGCTCCCAGGCCCCTCCCCTGGGCAGTGACCAGAGAGGCCTTTGTGAGGTGGCTTGGCTCACTGCCCGACCTGCCGCAGGCTGACTGTGCAGTGCTGATCGTGGCTGCGGGCGTGGGTGAGTTTGAGGCAGGCATCTCCAAGAACGGACAGACACGGGAGCATGCCCTGCTGGCCTACACTCTGGGCGTGAAGCAGCTCATCGTGGGCATCAACAAGATGGACTCCACTGAGCCACCCTACAGCGAGAAGCGCTACGACGAGATTGTCAAGGAGGTCAGCGCCTACATCAAGAAGATTGGCTACAACCCGGCCACTGTGCCCTTTGTCCCCATCTCTGGCTGGCACGGTGACAACATGCTGGAGCCCTCACCCAACGTGAGTGCCCACATGAGCTGAGCAGGGGGCAGGGTTCCTGCTGTCCCTAGGCCCCCCCGGCCCAGCTGGGCGAGGGTGGGAACCAGCCCCATGGGGCTCACAGTCTCCTTGGGCCTGGGGGCTTCGCCGTTTCAGCACAGCCTGTCCTCGGGGCGGGCAAGGCCTCTGAGGCCTGTCCTCCAGCCCCTTCTCAAGGAGCCGTCTACCACGACGGCCATTTTCCACATCCCTCTGTTCACTGTCATGGCCTGGAGGCCTCAGGCAGGGCAGTGGGCAGGGCCCATGGGGTGTGCCTCCCTGGGGTCTGAGAGTGGGCCTGGAACCAGGAGGTGCTCATGTTGCTGCAGTCCTGGGCTAGCCTGAGGGGGTCCATGGCTTCCTTAGCTCCAGGCTCCTGGCTCCTAGCCAGTGAATCTGGAAGCTCATGGCTCCAGCTGCCCGTGACCCAGATTCCCATTGGCAGAGGTGGAGGGGCGGGGTCCCGCCTATTCTGCACTTTGTAGGGCCTGAGACCTTGAGTTTAGGGCCCCATCAGGCTGAGGGCACCCCTGGCCTCAGAGGGTGGTTTTCCGGCCTGGTTAGTGCTGTGGCTACTCTTGCTGAGGGCGGTGGCATGTGTCTGGGAGCTGGGTCATGGGCCTCGGGAGAGAGCCAGGGAGACTAAGCTGGGCATCTGAGACCCCTTGTCCTGCCCTCTCAGGGTGGGGGCTGTTGCCACTCTGATGGATCAAGTGTTGTTTACCTGTGGCCAGACTTCCCTCCTGGGATCTGACAGGCCTGCTGGTTCCACACCCTGCTGCCCTCCCCAGGAGGCTCCTAGGCCCCACAGGTGCCCTCCCCCCTGCTGGATGCACAGCCACCTGCTTGATCTGGGGTGTCCTGGCTATCTAGGGTTAGGCTACAAAGATCAGGGCGGAAGGACTCTCGTCCCTGGGAGCAGCCCTGGGTACAATGCTGCCCATCGCTCCTTCTCCCAGTCTGAGGTGGGCGGGCAGGGCCACCTTTGGTATGTGAGTGTGCCAGGGTTGGGTCCTAGTGGGCCAGGCTTTGGCACAGGAGTGTGCCTGGATTGGGTGTGAGTGGGCTGGGCTTTGGCACAGGAGCATGCCTGGGTCTTCTGACAGGAAGTCCTGGGAACGGAGAAGTCAGCTGAGCTTACAGATGCCTCATGGTGGACAGGTCCAAGCTTCGGACATCAGAGGTTGGCCCCTGTCTGCCTCTGGCCTGGCCATGGCCACTCCCTGCTCTGTGGCTTGGCTGCCCAGGAGGAAGGCTGGGGGTTGTAGAGAGGAGGGATGGGTGAGGACTGTCTTCCCCTATGGAGCCCCAAAGTCAGGGTTTGGCTTCTTTGAGCTCCCCTTTCCTAGGACAAGGAGCCCTGGTGGTGTAGTGCCTAAGGCATTTGACTGCTAACCAGAAAGTTGGTGGTTCAAACCCACCAGCCACTCCATGGAAGGAGTGAAGATGGGGCAATCTGCTTCCCTAAATAGTTAATGCCTTGGAGACCCAATGGGGGTCACTAAGAGTCGGAATTGGGTCAATGGCAGTGAGTTTGGTGTTTTTTGTTGTTGTTTCCTTTTGGGTTTCTAAGGCAGTAAATCTTTGTGGAAGTAGATCGCCTAGTCTTGCTTCCACGGAGTGGCTGGTGAGTTTGAACCGCCAACCTTCTGGTTAGCAGTCAGATGCCTTAGGCATTGCGCCATCAGAGCTCCAAATATTTAATGCCTTGGAAACCCAATGGGGGTCGCTATGAGTCAGAATTGACTTGATGGCAGTGAGTTTTTTTTCCTAGGACAGTGTCAGGGATCTTGGTGCTGTTATGGATATGAGGTAGGGTGAGGGGCCGGGGAATTAGGGCCAGAGAGCAGGCGACAGGGAAGACTTATATGAGTCAGTTAATTGGATGGTGGAGTGGGGGCTGCAGTCTCTCTCCCATCCTGACCTCTTCCCCCAGTCTGATCCCCCACCCCATCCCTGATTCCTGGAGATACCAGGCTGAGGGCTGGGGAACCCCTCACTGGGTGTCAGTGCCTCACTGGGCTTGTGGAGGGGGAGTGGAGGCCTGGGGGCTTGTCAGTTTTCTAGAGCTGCTGTAACAGAAATACTACAAGTGAGGGGCTTTAACAAACAGGAATTTATTTTCTCACAGTTTGGGCCAGAAGTCCAAATTCAGGGTGCTGCTCTAGGGGACAGCTTACTCTCTCTGTTGGCTCTGAGGGAAGGTCCTTGTGTCTGTTGAACTTCTGCTTCTGGGTGGTCCTCCTGTGGCTTGGCATCTCTCTCTCCTCCCTTCTCTGTTTTTGCTTACATGTTTAATCTCTTTTATATCTCAGAAGAGATTAACTTGAAGCACTCTACCCTGATCCTGTCTCATTAACATAACAAAGGCAAACCTTTTTCAAATGGCATTATGATCACAGGCACAGAGGTGAGGATTCACAGCACATATTTTTTACGGACACAGTTCAATCCATAACATTCCACCCTTTGACCACCCCAAATTTATTTCCTTGCCTCAGGCAAAACATATTTACCCAATCACATCATCCCAAAAGTCTTAAATCAACTCCAAGTCCAAAATCTTGCCTTCTAAATCATCAGAATCAAATATGGATGAGATGGTAGGCATATTCCATCCTGGGGAAAATCTCTTTTCATCTGTGAACCTGTGAAATCTAGACTACAAGTGATCTGCTTCCAAAATGCTATAGTGGAACAGGCACAGGCAGACATCTCCATGACAAATGTGGAGAAGTTGGAGGGAAAGAAGGGACGACAGACAGCAAACAATAAAAACCCAGTAGAACAATTGAGATTAGTTCCCAAGCCTTGAAAATAATCCTGTCTTCTCTGAGACCATCTTGGCAATGGTCTCCAGACTCTGAGTGCTGGCCATACCCTCTGGATTCTGGGTGGAGGCCCCTCATCCCTGGGCTTCAGCTCCACCTTCCAGGCCCCCTGGGATGATAGCTCTGTTCCCTCAGCTTTGGGCAGCCCCATTCTCCTAGCCCATCTGAGTGGTGACCTGGCTGTCTCAGCCCTGGCAGGCCCTGTTCTTCTGCCCATTGGAAATGGCAGCCCCCCCCCCCAGCTTTGGGCTGCAGTTCCATCCCCCTAGCACACCTTAATGGCAGCCCTGGAGCCCCACAGTCTGGATCCAATCTGGTGAAGATCTGACTCTTTGAAACATAGGAGGGTGCAACCCCACCCTTTGAAACTGAGAAAGCCTTGCTTCCTGTTCTCCATCCAGCAGGACTGCTGATCTGAGCTGCTGCAAGAATGGTCCTTTTCTTATCTTGCAGGACAGAAGATCAAGCTCCTTTGGCTTGTTTCCTGCCTGCAGAATTCCAAGAAGCAGACAGCCTCCTTTCCTCTTGTTCTGTCTCTGTCCCCTTAAGTCTGAGGTGTGGGTTTTCTGCTCTGAGACTTGGTTAGAGCCATCATCAGACTTAATCTCTTTAACAACAGATTGTGTAGCCACGTTCTTGATGAACATTCTAGGACACGTGTCCTTAGTTTGTATGATAGAATTTTCCAAATCTTTAGGTTTTGTTTTTGTTTTGCACAGTTCATTTTTAAGTCCATCTCTTTCCTCTCGTATCAGTAAGGAGAAACTAAGTGGCCCTAGTAAGATCTTGCTTAGAAATCTCATCAGCCAGATATCCAAGTGCTACCTTCCACCAAACATTTGAACACAATGCAGACAAGTTCTTTGCCATAAAGAGTATCCCCCTTGCTCCATTGTCCGGTCACATGCTCATCGTTTTCTTCATAGCCGCACTAGAAGCACATTGAACGCCCACATTTCTAGCAACATTCTATTGCTGGTGCCATATGTGTTGCCTAAGACTATAGAGAGTTTCTCTATGGCTCTCCTCACTTCCACCTGAGCCCTCACCAGAGCTGTCTCTGATGCCCATGATTCTACCAACATTCTCTTCAAAACAATCTAGGCTTTTACTTTTGGGTACCTTAAACCTCTTCCAGCCTCCACTCATTACCCAATTCCAGAACTACTTCCACATTTTGGGTATTTGCTAGAGCAACACCCCACTCCTGGTACCAAATTCTGTCTTAGTTATCCAGTGCTGCTATAACGGAAATAACACAAGTGGGCGGCTTTAACAAACAAATTTGTTTTCTCAAAGTTTAGAAGACTACAAGTTGGAATGTAGGGTGCCAGCTTTAGGGGACGGCTTTGTTCTGGTTACCTAGTGCTGCTGTAACAGAAAATGTACCACAAATGGGATGGTTTTAGCAAACAGGAGTTTATTCTTACAATTTGGAGGCTTTAAGTCTGAGCTCAAAGTGCCAGGCTCTAGGGGATGGGTGAAAACCCCTTGACCTTGGGCTGCAGCTCTGCCTCTGACTCCTGGCCCTCTGAAGCTGGAGGCATTTCTTCATTCAGGCAGCTGCTGGCTGCTGAGGCTGACAAACCCAAGGTCCACAAGTAACAAGGCACAGTCCCGATATTACCAAACCATACAGCAGGCCATTAATTCAAGTCCATTAAAAGTCCAAGATCAGCAAAGCATGGCAGGCTGCTAAATGACTTGGCTATATGAAGGGTCCAAGGTGCCATAAGCTAGAGACCATTCCCCAAGTCTGCTTCTTATATACAGGAAGTGGGCCACACCCCTAAGGCAGCTACTCAGCTGCTCACAATATATTCCACCCAGGAACTGATGACCACTGTGATCATGGGGAATACTACCTCCAGCTGCCCAGCCACTCAACCAGGCCCAGCCAAGTTGACACACAGACTGAACCACCACAGGCTTTTTCTCTGTTGGCTCTGGGGGATGGTCCTTGTCTCTTGAGTGTGTACTCCTTGGTGATCTTGGAGATGCTTGTCACCTCCTTCCCCATCTCTGCTACTTTTGTTTGCTTAATCATCTTTAATCTCAAAGGAGATTGACTCAAGACATACCTTACACCAATCCTTATGTTCACAACATAACAAAGACAAGCGTTTCCTGAATGGGATTATAACCACAGGCACAGAGGTTAGGATTCACAGCACACATTTTTGGAGACACAATTCAATCTGTGACAGGGCTCTATCTTTGGGTCTCTTCTTCCTGCAGATGCCATGGTTCAAGGGTTGGAAAGTGGAGCGCAAGGAAGGCAATGCCAGTGGTGTGTCCCTGCTGGAAGCCCTGGACACCATTTTGCCCCCTACACGCCCCACCGATAAGCCCCTGCGCCTGCCGCTGCAGGATGTGTACAAGATTGGCGGTGAGTGAGGACTATGGGAGCCTCGCCTCCCCTGCAGGCTCGCCCCTGCTGCCCCATCCCACTGGCTCTGCCCACCTCCCCCTGCTGTTGTGTCCCTGTCCCCCCTGCCCCACCCCAGCTGGCTCTGCCCCTTGGCCCCCTCTCCTGAGACTAGGGCCCTGGTCAAGGAGCTCCCGAGACTGCATTACCTCTCCTCCCACACCGCACATCCTCTGGGGGCCCTTTACCCTCTCCCTGACCCATCTGTCACCTACTTCTCTATCCGCCTGTCCGGCCTTCACCAGGGTCCCCCTCTCTCTAAGTCAGTGCTCAGCCCTGTGCTCGGAGGTGGGGGCACAGGGTGGATCACACATACCTCACCCATGAGGGCTCCCAGTCTGTGGGGAGACAGACACAGTCCAGGAATGAGAAACACTGCTCGTGGCAGGAAACACAGACTGCCAAGCAAGATGGCGCCCACAGGGAGAGTGCCAGTGGGGTCTCATCTCCCTCATCCCCATACAGGGAACAGCCCCATCAGTGCCTGCCACTGCTCTGGGAGACAGACACCCCCTCAGACTGCTGACGGGGAGACAAGCCCCCTCAGACCCCTGTTGGGGAGATAAGCCCCCCGCAGATCCCTGATGGGGAGACAAGCCCCCTCAGACTGCTGATGAGGAGACAAACCCCTCTGTAGACCCCTGAGAGGGAGATAAGCCCCCCCAGGCCCCTGATGGGGAGACAAGCCCCCTCAGACTGCTGATGGGAAGACAAACCCCTCTGTAGACCCCTGAGAGGGAGATAAGCCCCCCCCCAGGCCCCTGATGGGGAGACCGGCCCCCCTATAGACCCCTGATGGGGAGACAAGCCCCCCTCAGACCCCTGTTGGGGAGACAGGCCCCCTGTAGACCCCTAACAGGGAGACAAGCTCCCCTCAGGTCCCTGAAAGGGAGACAGACCCCCTCCGACCCCTGAGACCTGTGCCAACTGTTTCACGGCACCTTGGAATGAGCACTTGTGGTGCACAGAGCCACACGAGGGACAGTCCCAGGTGCTGCAGGTGGACCAGGCCACCTCCTGGGCCGTGAGGCAGGTCCTCACAGTGAGAAGGGCCCCCTATAATGCTCCCTCTGGAGGGACACCTCTGGCCCTCTCTCCTTGTTTGTCTCTTGTCCTTGAGTTCCTGGGGGCATTCTCCTTCAGTACTCTAGTCACTGGCCGTATGGAGTCAGGGTTCCATTTCCTTCTGAAGTCCCCCACGGTTGTCTGGGTTTCCTCCCTCTGCATGGCCATGCCCCCAGCCCTGCCAGAGAGACCAAGGCCCGAGCTTTGCTGGTCCCCTGGGATGTGCTGCCCCATCCCAGGCCCCTGCTGGCCCTCACAGCCCCTCTGGCCTAGGCATCGGCACGGTGCCTGTGGGCCGTGTGGAGACAGGCATCCTGCGGCCCGGCATGGTGGTGACCTTTGCACCCGTGAACATCACCACTGAGGTGAAGTCAGTGGAGATGCACCATGAGGCACTGAGCGAGGCCCTGCCTGGTGACAATGTTGGCTTCAACGTGAAGAATGTGTCCGTCAAGGACATCCGCAGGGGGAACGTGTGCGGGGACAGCAAATCCGACCCGCCCCAGGAAGCCGCCCAGTTCACCTCCCAGGTCGGTGGGGCCAGGGCAGGCGGTTCACTCCTGCTCTCAGCAGGAGCAGGGCGGCGGGAGGAGGAGCTGCCAGGGGCTAGCCGAGCCCATCTGCTCACCTCACCTGGTCCTGGGAGGAGGCAGACCCCCGTGTCACAGATGAGGGCACTGAGAGGCTCAGTCAGGGCACAGGGTCCCCGTGTCACGGACATTCAGGGGCTTGCCCAGGGCACAGGGTCCCTGTGTCACGGATAAGGACATTCAGGGGCTCGGTCAGGGCACAGGGTTCAGGGTCCCCCATGTCACAGCTAAGGGTCCTGAGAGGTTCAGTCAGGGCAGAGGGTCTTTGTGTCATGATAAGGACACTCAGGGGCTCGGCCAGGGTTCTCAGCAATGAGGGGGGCCCCAGCCTAGGGGAGGTGGTCCTCCGTGGGATCAGGGGTGGCCTCTGTGAGTGGAGCCCCCAGTTGGGCTTGGTGTCTACTTTCGCTGCTGGCCTGGGTGCACCTGACCCCGCGTGTGTCTCTGGCCTCAGGTCATCATCCTGAACCACCCTGGGCAGATCAGTGCTGGCTACTCGCCAGTCATTGACTGCCATACGGCCCACATTGCCTGCAAGTTTGCGGAACTGAAGGAGAAGATTGACCGGCGCTCAGGCAAGAAGCTGGAGGACAACCCCAAGTCCCTCAAGTCGGGTGATGCGGCCATTGTGGAGATGGTCCCAGGGAAGCCCATGTGTGTGGAGAGCTTCTCCCAGTACCCGCCTCTCGGTGAGCTGGGGGTCCAGGGTCAGGCAGGTGCAGCCAGAGGGCCAGTGGAGGGAGGTGCTGTTAGTACGGCTGCTTTTCTGCTGAGCTCACAGCTTACTGAGAGACCTGCAGGCTCCATCCTCCAACTGCAGGTGGACTGGTGCCTCATTTGCACCTTAATGTTTCGCCCAAGGCCCACCACTAGTCTAGTGGCAGAATTAGGACTGCCCACTGCACCCCAGATGGGCCATTCAAAGTAGCAAGCCCACAGACCCGTACTGGACAGCTGCCGTAGGCAGGGGTGCCCTGCTGAGGCCAGCCCCATCATAATAGCTAACAGGATGTACTCTTGGCCAGGATCCCCTAAGGGCCTTAAATGCTGTATCGTTTAATTCTTGTGTGAGGCCGTGGGTGAGCCCTGGGTGTTCATCATTCCCGACACGTAAGGAACCAAGAGCTTTATAGACATTGGGTGCCCTTGGCGTTCCAACGAGAGACGCAGGCACAGAGAGGAACCGGCCAGGATTCGGGGAGGGCGCTGACGCGCGCGGTCCAGCGGGCTGGAGGATGCTGCATGCGCCGAGTGCGCTTGCGCGCTGCATCCCCGCGGGGAGGGCCGGGGGCGGGGACCGGTGCCTGACTCGCGAGGCCCCCTGGGCCGGGAGATGCTGTGTGCGCCGAGTGCGCCTGCGCGCTGCATCCCCGCGGGGCGGGCCGGGGGCTCGGGTGGAGCCTTACAGTGCCTTCCCCGCAGGCCGCTTCGCCGTGCGCGACATGCGGCAGACAGTGGCCGTGGGCGTCATCAAGAACGTGGAGAAGAAGAGC